ATATTTATCCGGTTGACATGTTGTCTAGCTTACTTTCAAAACAAAGTGTATCAACTTTTTAAACGCCACCAATTTGGCGGTGGAATGACCTTGACGTGTGTACATGAGCAAAACTTAATTGAAAATGCCAGACTTACATAAGCTTTTGCTCACCTGCCATGATGTTACACAGGTTGTTCTTTAGTTTTCTCACCTCTTCCAGTAGAGAGGGCATTAAAACTTAATAATTAAAGAAATGTTCTTTCATGTGACACTGGAAGGAAACCATAGTTTAATTTTACTCATTGTAATGTTATAGTGTTAACAATAATATCAAAAATTTCTTTCAATATGTTTATGTATCTTTTTGCCCACCAGTACACCCATATGATAAGATTCCGCGCAAAAACCTACTGTGACAATATTAAGTAACTGATATATAAATGAGTCGAGTCACGGCAAAACCAACATAGTGCGTTTGCGACCAGCATGGCTCCAGACCAGCCTGCGCATCCGCGCAATCTGATCAGGATCCATGCTGTTCGCTTACAAACCTTATGACAAGTAGAGAGACTGAAAGCGAACAGCATGGATCCTGATCAGACTGCGCGGATGAGCAGGCTGGTCTGGATCCATGCTGGTCGCAAACGCATTACGTTGGTTTTGTCGTGACGCGGCTCAAATTATGTTTTATCCATTAGAATTTTGATGATTAAAGCAATAAAGTCTGAATTTTGCATAATACATTCACTCAAAGTTCAGTATTTCTTAACCATTACCTTTTTGATTGTACATTTCATTATATAGATTTATATATGAAAAAAAAAATACAAAAAAACAGTATCACATGATTCTTTATCTCGATGAAAATAAACCAATGGTAAATGTTTTAAACATATCCTGTATATAACACAATTTTCTTATAGAATCAATTTCTGTATGCTACAAAGAATTTTAGCAAACTAGACCAAAAAGTGTTGATAAGAATCATTAAAGAAATTTTAAAATTGGACAATCTCAAACGTGTCAATGAGGCTGACATAGATATGCCCTCGTTAGCAAATACTATAAAGAGGGTATTTTTCGTTTGAGTGATATATGGAATATAATTTCACGAAATATGATAAAATTCTATATGTTTACACGAGCCGAAAACCATCGAGTAAAAGCAATAAAAGATGTTCTCAAAAACCCTCGCTAGATTTTAATTGTATGCAATAATATTTTGATTATTATCCCACGCCGAAAATTCGGCGGGGGATATAGAAATAGTCTCCGTCCGTCCGTCCGACCTTCCGTCCGTCCTTCTGTCCGACATTTTTGTCCGAAGCATATCTCTAAAAGTATTTGAGTAATCAACTTGAAACTTCATAGGTGGATAGACCTCATTGAGTAGGAGTGCAGTGCACAAGAATGATAACTCTACCCTGCATAATTTTTGAGTTATTGCCCTTTGTTATTTTTCAAAATTGATTTTTGTCCAGAGCATAACTCTAAAAGCCTATGAGATATCAACATGAAACTTCATAGGTGCATAAATCTCACTCAGGAGGTGTGCAGTGCACAAGAATGATAACTCTACCTTTCATAATTTTTGAGTTATTGCCCTTTGTTATTTTTTATACTTAATTTTTCACCTGAGTGGAGCATAACTCAAAAAGTGTTTGACATATCAACATGAAATGTCAAAGGTGGATAGATCTTATTGAGGAGGAATGTTGTGCACAAGAATGATAACTCTTCCCTATACAGTTTTTGAGTTATTGCCCTTTGTTCTTCTTCATGCTATTTTATCCAGAGCTTATCTCACAAAGTATTTGAGGTATCAACTTGAAACTTCATAGGTGGATGGATCTCATTAAGGAGGAGTGCAGTGCACAAGAATGATAACTCTACCCTGCATAATTTTTGAGTTATTGCCCTTTGTTATTTTTCAAAATTAATTTTTGTCCAGAGCATAACTCAAAAAGCCTTTGAGATATCAAAATGAAACTTCATAGGTGCATAGATCTAACTCAGGAGGTGTGCAGTGCACAAGAATGATAACTCTACCCTTTATAATTTTTGAGTTATTTCCCTTTGTTATTTTTCATACTTAATTTTCACCCGAGTGGAGCATAACTCAAAAGTGTTTGAGATGTCAACATGAAATGTCATAGGTGGATAGATTTTATTGAGGAGGAATGCTGTGCACAAGAATAATAACTCTTCCCTGTACAATTTTTGAGTTATTGCACTTTATTCTTTTTCATACTATTTTGTCCGGAGCTTATCTCAAAAAGTATTTGAGGTATCAACTTGAAACTTCATAGGTGGATGGATCTCATTGAGGAAGAGTGCAGTGCACAAGAATGATAACTCAACCCTGCATAATTGTTTAGTTATTGCCCTTTTTTATTTTTCAAAATTAATTTTTGTCCAGAGCATAACTCAAAAGGCCTTTGGGAAATCATTTTGAAACTTCATAGGTGCATAGATCTAACTCAGGAGGTGTGCAGTGCACAAGAATGATAACTCTACCCTTTATAATTTTTGAGTTATTGCCCTTTGTTATTTTTCATACTTAATTCTTCATTTCAATTTTTTTCTCAAAAAGTATTTGAGGTATCAACTTGAAACTTCATAGGTGGATAGATTTTACTGAGGAGGGATGCATCACACAAGGATGATAACCTACCCTGCATTATTTTTCAGTTATTGCCCTTTGTTATTTTCAGCCATCAGTATTCACATAGGTTTCAAATCTGTAATCACTATAGCCATCAGTTTTCATTACCAAAAGTCTCATGAACCTAAAGATGAAATCGGCAAGTCATTTCGAAACCGGAAACGGAACTTGCATATCTCACGTAACTTGCAAATCTATTACGACATCTTACACGGTGTTGAGAAAACATAACAGAATTAACATTTTATTTTCTTATGATGAAATGAATAACTGTAGCTATTGACTGTCAGAGAAAAACATCCGAAAGTAGTTACTAAATATAAATATGACTGCAACACTATTTTAGATTGTAAAAAAAAAAAAAAAAAAACGAAAAAAAAAAAAAAAATTAAATAAACAGGTTTTTGTATTGATGAATTTTTTACAACCGGATTTCGTAATTTGATAGTAACAATATCATAAAACCTTTAAAGGTGAAGATATGGGGAAAATGCGGTCACATAATACAAAATCTCAATCCAGTCTTTCTAAAATATGCTTCCTAATATTTAATTTCTATTTTCAAGTTATATCGTAGCTAAAAACCTCGGCACGTAGGTTAAAAAAAAAAAAAAAAAAAAAAAAAAAAAAAAAAACAACAACAACGTATGTGTGCAAAGCGAAGCATGAATGATTTTTGCTTTACTAATTATAAGTAACAGATAACTAACATAACGACAAATTTAATGCAACACCATTAGCTACTAATTTAGCATGAATTTACATCTTGCGACATTTAACGGTAGCGTTGCGACATTTAACCGGAAGTGAAAATCGTGCGGCATTTAACGTTACCATTGCGACATTTAGCGGCAGACGATTTTGCGACATTAAGCGGCGGTTGCGACATTTAGCGGCAATGGTGCGACATTTAGCATTAAGTGCGACATTAAGCGGCGTTGCGACATTTAACGGCGCCACAGACAGTTTGCACAAAGAAACGTTCTACATGTTTCTAAAACAAAACAATATACTACTATTCAATAAATTACCGACGATATTTAAAGGAAATGTTTTTCCCGTTCGATGGTCTCCTGTAATAAATATACAATGCTCATTGCGACCCTTTTGAGGTCTCCATATTTAGCTATATTCAGCAATATGTATAATATCATGCTTTAAACAAGGAGGGACAAGGGTACAAAATGAAGATTGTGAGCCGAACATTATCTTTTTAAAACCTTAATGGTTTTGTGCACCATTAACCGGTTTAAATTCCCCAGCAGTGCTTATGTTGCTGACCGTTCAAAAGCAGAGCCCCTCTGCGTTCCTCAGAGGTCTTTGTTGTTTTCTACTGTTCTGGTGATACTTTTGTTTGTGTTCTTTGTTGTTTTCTCGTCTACGTAAGTATCTTTATTTTAGCCCTTAGTTTTATTTTTAAATAATTTGCCCCTCCTTTCCCCAAATCTCGAGTCCCGTTCTCCTGTTGCCGTTTTACTTTGTAGGTCGATCAATCAATCAATCAATCAATCAATCAATCAATCAATCAATCAATCAATCAATCAATCAAATCAATTATGTGCCTTCTTTAATTTCCTTGATGGTTACTTTTATTTCTTTTTAAGTATCATTTATGTGATTATTATGTTCGTGCTCTGTCTTGCGTCCTGTCCTATTTTGTTTGGGGTCCTTCAGGGCTCCTTGCCGCTAGTTCTTGTTGCTGGTGTCGTTTGAGGGTTGCCTATATTGAACTCCGCCTTTCCTTGTTGATTTGTTTATCATATTTAATGATCAGATCGGGTTGTTTTTCTTAAAAAAGGAAATCATTATAGACTCTATCCGAAAGAATTCCTGAGTTCCGCCATAATAGACAAAGTTTATAACCGTACAAGTAATTACATACTATGGCAAATTTGTCGTTGAATTTGCAATTTTCAAAGTAATACGATCGGGGATCGTCGATTCCAGTATGTAAGTGTTGAGATTGGAAAACTGCTTAAGCCTGTGCTAGGGGGAATAAGAGATGTTACGCTTTAACATTGTCTGTTATGAACAGACATCATCAAATCAAGCCTGCAATGTCCCCATACGGTATTCTTTCTTCCGAGGTAGCACTTCATTTTAATATTTTACTATCACTATCTGAGAATGCAAAAAAGTATTTAACATACATTTGCAACAGTTATTTGGTTAATAAAGTATTTATAGATTTTTATTCAGTGCAACGTTTGTTGAGCCGCCCTCTTTCGAACAATAACCTCTTTTCAGCAAAGATATCAATTCTTCCAAAAACACGTCAACAAAATAAAATTTTCTCTTCCAAAAGTTGTTGCTCTGAAGAAATTGTACAGTATCAAAAAATCACCAATAATCAACATTTTGAATAATCATTATAATTTCTATTTTCAGAGTACCAATATGACATATGTATTCCGAGTTCTATCCTGTTACCTACTTGTGAACTTCGTTGTTATAAACACACAAGGTATATGTCTTTTTTAGTAATATGCAACAAAAGTTAATTCTTATTCAAGGTTACGTAGTGACATTTTACTCCATGCTATGTATATCTACAAGTTTTGTAGAGAATCAAAAGGAGTCACAAAATTTCGATATCCAAGCCTAGTGGTTCTTAGAGGCTTGTAATGCATCTCAAATGCAAACTTCTCCTGCCATTTTAAATGTTTAAGTTGAATGTCTAAGTATTTTAAGAAATGTAGTCAACTCTAAAATATAACATAATTTGTTGATTTTAATTGATTGTGTATGGTTTTAATATCAATGTCGTCTAACTTATGAAAAGAAATTATACTTTGTTAAACATTTAACTCAAATTTTTTCTTAACTTTTAACTTTTAACCTAATGTTTTAATTAAGTTGAAAATTTAAAAAGTCATTATAAAAGATGCTACATATGTTTCGAAGTGTGCACATCCCCAAGTAACACAAAAGAAAAATAGAAGATATTCAAGTTTTTTCTATGAATACATGATTTATTTTCATCGGATATTATCAAGATAAATATTACATGAGTGGCAGTAGCCACGAATGAAATATGATATTTTTATACCATAAAATGACAATAAATCGTGTATTTCTAGAGAAAACATGAATTTTCTGTTTATTATATACATTTTTCTATTTTTTTGACATTGCACTTTGGAAGTCATAATTAAGAAGAAAGTAGTCCAGCAAGACAACAGTGAAAATACGAAAAATATGTTTCACTGCATTGAAAATGAAATTTTAAAGTGAAAATACAGAAAATAGAAATACGCATTTTATTTTATCAACATTTCCCAATATTTTAATTATCAGTATATAATAAAACAATACTTTTGGTAGAATTCAGCTTATCTACAAACAAGTATGTACAGTTAGATCTGGCTGTCTTAAAGAAATTAATCACATAATAAATTTAAATGATTGTATTCAAATTTACAATACATTTTCTTAAAACAGTGGTACTTTATTATTATCCGACTGATTACTGATATTTTTTAAATACATACTTGAATTTGTAGCGTACTGTGTGCAGCACGAAACACAGAGCTTGAGGATCAATACTTCTGTACTTTGTTTTTTTATCTTTAAAAAAGATTTGAAAATAACACATAAATTGCATCAATCTTTTCGACTTTTACGCTGATAATTTTCTTTTCTTGATATCTTGATCAAAATAATAATAAAAAATAATAAAATAGTATGCAAAGCTTTGCCGTTCACAAACCTTAAAAGTAAAAAACAATTACGATCAAATAATTTTATGTTTAAGCAATTTCTCATGATAAGTACGTTTCGATTCTTTTTTTATAGCTAACGTTTCTACTACAACATGTACACATAATGATAACTGTACCAGCAATGCAATTTGTTCAGCCGGTAGGTGCAGCTGTGACACAGGATTTACTGAAAATGGGAATGCTTGCGAAGGTATTGTCTTAATTATATTTGTATGTCACAAAGAGTAGTAATGACCTATAAAGAATGGTAATATGATTCTTATAATAAATGTATAACATGCTAATTTTAATTGCATACGCTCTTAAATTTTACGATAATCACATGGAGGCTTTCAGCTTTAATGCTGTTAACAAACCTTGAGAGAGAACCCTATTACAATCAAGTGATGTGTTTGAAGCAATTTCATATAAAAAGTATGTTCTGATTCTTTACGTTTATAGCTAACGTTTCTACTACAACATGTACACATCTTGATAACTGTACCAGCAATGCAAATTGTTCAGCCGGTAGGTGCAGCTGTGACGCAGGATTTACTGAAAATGGGAATGTTTGCGAAGGTATTGTCTAAATTATGCAAATTAAAGAAGTAATGAATTATAAAACATGCAAAATGATAAATATTATAAAACATTTTGCGATAAACATGATGGAGATTAAAAGCCGCATTGTATATCATAATTTTATTTAATGAAATAATTAATACCCTTCTTTAAGATATAAAAGATTACTGATTTTCCAATGTACTTTCTTTGTAGTGTTTTAAATGGTCACATGTTTTCAAAACTGATGTATGTTTTAGTAATTATAATAACATCAAGCATATAGAATGGTAGGAAAAATACACTGACAGTAACACCAAAATAATGAAAAAATCTTTCGTTCTTAAAACAAAATATCTTAGAAATGTGTCAGTCTTCGAAATTTCAAGTTGCAAATGTGCTTCAAACACTTATGAGCTTTTCATCTGACAAACATTAAGTTAAAACCCAACAAAGGTCAATACCTCGAATATTTGAAAAAAAAAGAGTTATGATCGTTACGTTTTGAATTTATTTTTAACCCATTACTTCATGTAGACGTCTTTTCATGCCTTTTACCCCCCCCCCCCTCTTTGAGGCCTCAAATAGTGAAAAATATGCCCTATTTAGACCCCAAACACTTGTTTTCGTTTGAGAAATGGTGTTAAAAATAGTGATCACATTTTCGGCGCCATCCCCTATCAAATTGATACATCAAGGGGTGCCAGAGGGGGATGTGCCCCCTTCTGTTTTGGGGTTTGAAGGGGGTCGGTAAACCCCCTCATCTCCAAGAACATTTTGGACTTGTGAGAGGCGTAAAATGGCCCTAAGTTGACCTTAACCCTTTCCCTCATGAGCATTTTGTGAAAATGGCCGTTTTCATTGAAAAGCCTCCTGTTACAAGTTCAAACTGCTATGAAACTATGAAAAATGCTTCAATACTAATCAAACTTGGCACAAATGTTGACTGGACCATTGCCTTTGTAACGACATGCTCAGTCTTAAATTTCCTGTTACCATGGCAACGAGGGGACATCTCAAAATTGCAAAAAATCACTATTTTGCGTTGATTTTTTCCATCAAAATTGATTTCAAAGTGCTGCAACTTCTCAATGGATTGAGATAGAGTCAAAGGCTTTTCAGCGTTGGTTACACGTTACCTTATGGTCGACCTGGGGTCATTTTTAGCCTCTCACAGTCCAAAATTTTCTTGGCGATGAGGGGGACTGCCGCCCCCCTTCAAACCCCCCAAACAGAAGGGGGCACATCCCCCTTCTGGCAACCCCCTGATAAACCTTTTATATAGGGGGCGGCGCCGAAAAAGTTGTCACTTTTTTCAGCAACATTTCCCAAACGAAAAACAGTGTTTGGGGCCTAAATAGGGTAATTTTTCACTGTTTGAGGCCTCAAAAAAGAGGGGGTGTCGAAAAGCCGTCAAAACACGTCTATATGAAGTAAAGGGTTAAGGTAAAGTATAACCAACGCTGAAAAAACTTCATAGCTTTCATAGCATTTTGAACTTTTAACAGGAAGCTTTTCAATGAAAACAGCCATTTTTCACAAAATGCTCATAACCTAATGGTTAAAGTCATTTAATCAACGCTGGTCTGATTAAGTATTATGATGCTATAATACGAATAATCAAAGGTTATAGTACGAAGGTAATTATTTTACCAATATAAGATTTTTCTTTGATGTATCAGTTTCAAGCTTAAATAAAATTAATATGTTAACCTGCAACAAAAAGATAAAAGAAACGAACATTAAACGACAATTTATATTTATTACACAGGAAGTAGTAAAGGGTGTCCAGAGAAAGTATTGTTTATGTTGCAAAACATGATTAAAATTACTATAGAATCTGAAGAGCAAATTCATTTTTGAGAATAATATGAAGTGGAGAAATATGTAATATGATGTTGTTTTTACACAGATATAGATGAATGCATCAGTAACACGCACAACTGTAATTCTAATGCGACCTGTAACAACACTGACGGAAGTTTTACTTGTGCATGTAACTCGGGTTATACAGGCGATGGAATAAATTGTACAGGTATGAGTTGAAATACCAACCATGTTATTGCTCAGTTACAATTAAAGAAAACATTTTGCCAAGATTTGCCAAGAAAAGTTTTGGTCTTTACGTTTTGAATTTCTCAAAATTCATATTTTAAATGTTGGTCTGCAATTGTATTGTGTTTCCATAATATAATTAAAGGTTACGAAGGAAGTATTCCTTACACATAAAAAGACAATTCATGTTTATGACACAGATAATAGTAAAGGGTGTCGGAAAAAAATAATGTTAATATTGCAAAACATGAAAATAATTATTAAAGAATCTTTATAGCAAATTTATTGTTGAGAATAACTTGAAATGAAGAAATTGAAATATGATGTTTTTGTAACAAAGATATAGACGAATGCACCAGTTTCACCCACAACTGCAATTCTAATGCGACCTGTAACAACACTGACGGAAGTTTTACTTGTGCATGTAACTCGGGTTATACAGGCGATGGAATAAATTGTACAGGTATGTGTTGAAATACAAACAATGTCATTGTCTAGTTTCAATGAAAAAACAACATTTAGCCAACATTTGCCACAAAGAGATATGATCCTTAAGATTTGAATTACTTTTAAGCCAAGAAATCAACGTTGGTCTAATATAGTATTATGATGCTATAATACGAATAATTAAAGGTAATGTTACGACGGTAATGATCTTCACACTATGAGATGTTGCCTTAGATGTATCAGTCTCCAGCAAATATAAAAATTATGTGTTTAAGCTGTATCAAAATGATACACGAAGATGATTTGCATCAGTTTTCTTGACCTCCCTTTATTTGTAAAAGACAACAATCCCAATAGCGTTGCATTGACTGTAAATGACGTAAAACCTAATTAGCATGACATAAGTGAATGTCCATGTTAATTTCTTGATTGTATCCAAAGTATTTGCATGTATATTAAAGTCAGTGTTGTTGAAAGATCTTGTCCTTGAACTCTCTATTAAAAAGTGACGAAGAGATTCTTCAAATTTATAAATGTGTGCATAAGCACATTTCAGCTAGTAAAGATAACTGAATTTCATATCTACATTATTTGTAGTGTTTTAAATTTTTGATATCCTTCTTTGTTATTATTTGTTATTACTGTACCAACACTGACGGAAATTTTACTTTTGCATGTAATATGGGTTATACGGGCGATGGAAAAACTTGTATAGGTATACGATGAAATATCATCAATGTTATTGTTCACTTATAATTTCAAAAGATATTTGCAATGAATATTTATTTTTTACAAGACTTGCTTTTGTAAATAGAGATCATGCTACTGAATAAAACGTTTGAGACATGATTTTACGCTACATTTATAAATCAAGTAATGTAATTGACACGTAAGAAAAGAAATATAACATTTTTTATAGTTTTGAGTGGATTACTGATTTATCCTTGAAAATTATCAAATTTTTAATTGACAATGTTCAATGAAGGGACTACTTCATAAACAATTTCCTAATGTGGAAACTCATTTTCATTTTCGCTAACAATTCCGACATAATCAGGTTTGTTTTAAGCAAAAAAAGCAACTTAAATACCAAACGTCATCGAACAGATAAAACTTACTTCAATTTATTCCGTTTAATGCCGTAAAAACATTTAATTAGAACACAATTATGATCTATTAATTTTGTGTTTGAATCAATTTTATATGATAAGTACGTTCCGATTCTTTATTTTTGTAGCTAACGTTTCTACTTCATCATGTACACATAATGATAACTGTACCAGCAATGCAATTTGTTCAGCCGGTAGGTGCAGCTGTGACACAGGGTTTACTGAAAATGGGATTGTTTGCGAAGGTATTGTGTAAATTATGCAATTTAAAGAAGTAATGAACAATGTAAAAAGGCAAAATGATTCGTATTATATAACATTTAGCGATAAACGTGATGGAGATTAAAAGCCGCAATTGTATATCTATTAATTTTTTTTTA